CCCGCAGAATTCTAAAGAGATAAAAATTAAATATGTTATGCGCTGACTGAAAAACAAAAATGTCCGCTGACCACCATGAAGGAAAGCTTAAGCCTTTGTCTATATGCAGAATATCATTGAGAGGAGCATCTGTTTATTGTCAGGGCTGGCTATGATAGCAAAACTATTTTATCGGAACAGTTAATTAGCGACAGAATGCAAATACGTCCAGTTGACCACCCACTTGTTTGGCGAAGGCTCCGGGTGATAAAGTCCAAGTGACATTTGGCTAAGATAAGAGTCCAAGGGTTTGTTGTCGGGAAGAACGAAAGAAAGAGAAAGAAAAAAAAAAAAAAAAAAAAGAAAAAGGAAGATTATTTTTTTTTATTTGAGCAAGATTTTTTAAACCGAGGCTAGTCTGGCCGCACCCACGCCGCTGAGCGGCCATTGGCTGAATGGTGGCGTGAGCGTTAGGCGGAGGTAATCATGGCAAGAAGGAGGGGAGGCCTGTTGCACCCCCTGAAGGGATAGGTGTGAGATGCCACTGTGTGAGAGAGGGGAAACCCGTTGACACCCTCTGAGGGTATGGTGAGATACCAATATGAGAACAGAAGAAGGTGGGAGGACGAAAAGACTTCCAAAAATGGAAAATAATAAATTTGGAGTTGCAACCGCCTCGCAGAAACCTGACTGAAAGATTCCACGCAAATCAAGACCTCAACTTCTAATCAAGAACAATTTATTTTTGAAGAACGACTTAGACTCACACCATCAAAACAAGCTTTACGAAGATCGCCTGAAGTTATACCAAGAACCAGTTTCTTAAAGAACAAACAACTTAAGATGTTAAGACTCGCCTAACAAACACAAAGTGTCACGAATCCATATAGCGGGATGGGAAGAATCAGTCCTGTATTCAGGAACCAGATATAAAATATTGTTATCTTTTTTTTTAACACGTTTGAACTTTTCGAGTTAATATTTTATTTTATTTTACATATACTTGTGCGGTGTTACCCTTGGCCGGACTCAGTTTGCATTACGGCCCGGCGACTGATTGATTTCGTCTACCTAAGATCAAATTACAACGTGGGTAGGTTAGACTAGAAATCAAAACAGTTACTTCGGTAACCAGACGTTGGAGGCGAGCTGAGAACGACAAGGCTGATACCGAATCTAACCAGATTCCCATCCGAATCAGCAAAAGGTTGGAACGTCACATTTAGTGCCGCGACCAATACCAAGTCACATTGGTCGTCACGGGACAGGATAGGACGGCGACATCGACGGCGCGGAGACAGACAGGGTGACGTCACAACTGGCGCCGCGACCGGGACAGCACGGCGGACGTGGCCAAGCAGACGTCACGATTGGCGCAGCGACACCTGGGGACGTTCACAATAGTCCTAGCAGGAACATCCCATATACTAAGAAAAGTGCTATCAATTAAATGACAATTCTCTTATAAGACCTAAAGACCATAGTTTGGACCCGGCTCTACAGGATACAAAGCAGGAAACAACATACCCGAATGATGATGACGATGATGATAATGATAATCAGAGAAAAAGAAGAAATGCATGCCGAAACTCAACGATTGACAACTCAAAATTTGACAATTTTTGGCTTCTGTTCAACGTCAAAATTGTGATAACAGGTTTGCGACTCCGTATCGAGAACGAGATTAAGTAGATTGTTAAGCTTCAGTTTGTAACGAATCCCCAAACGTTGCAGCACGTCCTGACAAATTGAATGGATGCTGGGATAAGTAACTGAGATCACGTGGGGCAATTTGAGAATCAGTGCTTGTATATTTTATTGTCCAACGCTTAAAAGGAAATAAATATTAACCCACATAAGATACTACTACTACTACTACTACTACTACTATTATTAATAATAATAATGCTAATAATACCAGAATAAATTGGAAAGAAGGTCGATGGAAATATCAAATATACGAGGAAACTGATTGTTATGTGGGAGATGAAGGCGACATTCATGCTAATTATTTTCAAGAGCGAATCATCTTTCCGGGTTTATTATCTTTCTTTATCATGTTTTTGCTATGCTTCTTCTTCATCACCATTAATCTGGTATTCTCCCTTTTCTTCACCATTTTTCTAATATTCATCTTTTCATCAGTATTATAGTTTTCTACCACGTTCTCATCGTTATCCAAGTATTCTCATATTCTTTTTTCCAAGTATTCTACTATTCCTCTTCTTCCAAATCAATTATTCTGCTATTCTTGTTTTCACCAATATTCTTGTATTCAACTTCTTCCTCGCTCGTATTCTAATACTCTTACCTGCGTTTTTTTTCTTTCTTTCTGTCTTTCTTTTTTCGTTTTGTTGTTCTCGCAGCTCCTTTCTTCTATAGCTTTTTCTTTATCATTATTTTACAATTAATATGCAACAATCATCATCATCATCAACAACAGCAATAATAATAATAATAATAATTTGTTTTTCTTGCCTAATTCTCCTTTCCCTCTATTTGCCATATTTCCCTTCATTTTCCCTCTTTCCCTTGTTTTGTTCCTTCTCAAGTTCTAATGTACTCTTCTGTTCATACCTAATCGTAGAATGCCTGTCTTATTGACACAATTAATTCAGGCGACTTGCAATACACACCGGCCGCCTATTATCATAGTTCTATGGTCAATAATGGAACGCGGGAAAGAACCAGGGGAAAATTAAAAAGAATAACAACAAAACGAAGTATTGATAAAATTCCGGAAAACACATAATAGAGATTAACCAACATATACATACATATCTCTCTCATTATATATATATATATATATATATATATATATATATATATATATATATATATATGTGTGTGTGTGTGTGTGTGTGTGTGCGCACGTGATAGTTTGTATAATGTACTCTCGTACAATTTTATCTGTACATAACTTTGTTATTCAAACAAAAAGATAGATATTGTTGATATTTAGGTAAATCGATAAGTCTGCCAGTCTAAGAAATATTATTTCCTTCATTGGCAATGTACTTAATTCAATGTTGAATATCAATCATGTGGAATGAATATTATACAATTAAAATTTCAGATCAAAATTAAGTTAAAAAGCACGTGACATATCACGGAATTATTGATCTATCTTCATATAGATTCATATGTGCGTTTGTGCGTGTTTGTGTGAGAAGAGGATGTATATATTTTTTGAAAACTATATATATATATATATATATATATATATATATATGAAGAAATATAGTATATATATATATATATATATATATATATATATATATATATATATATATGAAGAAATATAGTCTCAAGATGTGATATATTTATGGGATAGAGCGTGTGTAAATAAAAAAAAAAAAAGTGAACGTAGAAGTTAACACTCATGGCCTGACGATTGCATCTAGCATGAAACAGACTGTCGCCTCTAAGTGTTGACTTCTATGTTCACTATATATATATATATATATATATATATATATATATATATATATATATATCAAATAAAATAAGAAACGCACAATAGAGTACGCTATTGAGGCACATCGGAAAAAGAGAACTCAGTGTCATATTAACTGGTACAGCCTTAATATATTTAATAAATAATTTACCGGTGAACAGTAATCGACCACAAGTAAAGATTTCATCCGTTTACACGCAATGATTAGGTAGTTACAAGTATCATTTGTGAGAATGCACATTTTAGACTCCTTTGGTTACTTCAAGATGTTATCACTATGCGTACATACCGTGCACACCCACCAAGCAAACCTAACGACGAGGGGAAATGCACGTCCGGCAAAGATGAAAAATGCTGAATATTCACCATCATTTGGGAATAGAAAAAGCTAAAATCCAAACACCAGAAACCTCAAAAGAGTACCGAGAATGTGCTCAATATGGTGGAAAATCTGTTGCATGACCCCGGCAAAGGGAAAGGCTCAATGATGAAAAAAAATATATGCAAATCCGATTCATATTTCTCGAATATTCAAGCCAGCAGATGTAAATAAATAAATATACTGCTTAAGAAATAAATAAAAACAGAGCATCTACTTAAATATGTGTATCCATTTAAAAAATAACATTTGAACGAATAAATTAAAATTCTGTCGGATTTAAATCCATCTCCTAACACACACTATGTATCGTCATCCACAGGGAGACGCGAAACACGACTGACTTGTCATCAGTCAGATCTCTTACATCTCGACCATCGTCGCACATCAGGGATTGAAGGAAAGGAATTTTAACTTTTTTCTCTATACGAAATACGCCAGCGACCTCTAGATGTCAATTCAATTTTACTTGAAGAATAATGCTATATATATATATGTGGAATATATATATATATATATATATATATATATATATATATATATATATATATATATATATATATATAAAATTCGCTTGAGGAGGAAATGGAACTGATGTCTTTAATTTAATTACAAAATTAAATTCAGGGCTTTTAGCTTCCAATTTTGAAACATGGTTAGAACTGTGTAGCGGAAAAAAACATATTTTAAATCAATTAATTTATATATATATATATATATATATATATATATATATATATATTGCTATAGTCATTATTATTGTTATAGTTCTTCTAAACAAACCATTATCCTTTAATGATTTCGTAAGATAGCTGAGGATGCCTATCAGTGCGTCATGTTTACTAAATTCAATTTACCTTCCAGTTATATAGTCGATGCTATGTACTATTTTATTAACTCATCTCTGGGTATAGCAGGTACAATTTTTAGGATTGACTGATTTGTTTTTTTATGGCTTATCCACCCTTTGCAGTTTATTTAAAGCCATAAATATTATTTTTTTAGATTAAGAAATTTTTGAAGATAATAATGATTAAGTGAAATTAAAATACTACGAATTAACCCATAATTGGTAGAAAATGTGGATTCATACGCGTTTCTCAAAGTGTACTTGCGCGTAAGGGAATATAAAGAACATGGTTGAAATTTGAAAATTCCGAGCCGTTATCCATCCGAGAATCCAAATTACAGCACCTGCTCTTCCCAAGCGGTTACTCATACTAACCAGGCTCAAAGTTATTTAACTTCGGTGAGTGTACGGGAACCGGTGTAGTGAAGATGAAATTGGATTCTTATCTTTATAAATATTTGTATGAAAGCAAACGGAACGACATCGGTTTGAACTTGGCACGACAACCCTTCTTACTGTGCCGATAACCGTTATTCAAATATAATTACTGTTTATATAATTAATATTTGGGATCCTTATAATCAATGGCTGCTAAAAGCGGATTCATTACGAGAATTCAAAAAGAAGAAAACCACAGCTTTCATTATCTCGACTGTAAATAGAAACTTTTGTTTTTGTTGCATTCAAAGCTAATTATTTATTAGATTGTATTGGACAATATAATTGTGTCACTGCACTGCTCTACAACTGAGCAATTTGTTCGTAAGGTTGACTTTCTCATGCTGGGATCCGAAAGCTTATTTTGTTTTTTATATATATATATATATATATATATATATATATATATATATATATATATATATAATAAGTTTTAAAATTTATTCTATTGTCAAAATATTAGTTTGGTGCAAAAAATAATGACGTAATAATGTCGTTTTTTACGTTAAAAATACATCATTATTTTTGCACCAACCTAATAATTATTCAACTATGAATTTCTGTATGAATCCCCAACATCTTGAAATCGGCGTAAAGTAATAAAACGGAATGACAAGTTAAACTTTCGACAGCAGTTCCAAAAAAAGACTTTGAATGGAATTACTGTAATGTAATAGAACCACTTGTAATAGAGACAGAGAAGAGTTACGGTTTCGTAAATCGCTATCGAAAAGAAAAAAAAAAGTTATCGCAGAGTTTTGTATCTAAGTTGATGCGGATTATCTTGCTTTTTCACTCGTACCTGTGACAAAGCCTGAAAGTATGTCTCCCTGCATTCATTTTTCTAAATATACTGATTAAATCTTTCGACTTTGGAAGGTGAATCTGGTTGGTGTTGATATATACACATCTTGGTAAACTATTCTCAAACAACGATCTCGATCTAATTACAACATGGGTATATGACGCATAATCTTCTGCTTGGTTACAACTGTATGACGCAGGTAATAAAATGTTTCCGTATTTTATCCAAAACTTTCAATTCAACAATTGTCGATGTTTCCAAACAATTCCACTTAAATGCTTTTCTTCTTTAACGCTATTTTTTAATACGTGACATGTAGCATTTGAATTAAATTAAATAAATTAATTTGCACAGAAAATTATCCATCCCCATAATAAGAGTACTTTTTGAAAAGCGATCCGCCTTATCTATTTTTCCGAATCCAACCAAATTACCGCATAGATTTAAAAAAAAATCCCTTCTTAGTCGAAGCGATATTTCTAAATCTCCCCGTACAAGCTTTATTCGCCTGCTATATTCGATAAAACAAAGTCGTTTTTCCTATTGCAGGACACATCTTTGGATCAATTCATAAAAGTCGTATCAGTGAAGTATTCGCAACCTTGTTATAGCCTTTTTACCCCAAAAGGATTACCTTACATTTTTTTTTATTAATATTCACTAAATACAAAGTCCAAGGGTCACTTAAAGTAGCGAGTTACTGAATGATACACGATCGTAAGAAGAGTTGGAAAGAAGTGAATATTATAAGGTTTTTTTAGGAGAGATAACGGTTAACCATAGAAATGAAACGTTTCAGATTGTAGTGATCGGGAAAACCCATTTTTGGCAGTGTTATCACCAAAGAAGCAGTTCTTGGAAAGAATCTATCCCCATGGAATTTCCTCCTTACTAATGATGGGGATGGAGAATGATTCGTCCCCGTATATGTGTCATAACGGGTCATGGCTACGATGGTCAGAACTGCTGGAACTAAGAAACATAGACTTAGTTTGAAATTATTATGCAAATCACAAACGTCAATAACTCGAATTTACTTCGAAAAATACTGGTCAAATTTTACGCGATTAATTTATACGTCAAAACAAAGCTGAAGTTATTTTTTAGATAGTTTCATCACTTATAAGAGAACAAATAACAAATATATGTGATAAGTCTTTGAAGCATTTACATCTTAATATAATGACCCTTCTTCTCAATAACAGCCAGCAATCTATTATCCATTAATTAATTTTTTTACTTTTGCATGTTCAATTTCCGACATGGTGGTTTTAATTACTTTTTATAGGGTTTGCTTTGCTGTCATATTGTTTGTCATCTTCATATAATTTTATCTTCCCAAATGACCATGGATTTTCGATCAGATTAATGTTGGGTCTTGATGGTGGTCACTCTTTATCTTATAAACATTTTACACCAAAACAGTTCACGGGTAGCTTTAGATACATGAGAAGGAGCAATGTCGTGCACAAATATACAATTAATTTGAAACTGCGAGTCTGGGACTTGTATCGTTAAAAAAAAAAAAAAAAAAGGCATTCCCATAAAATCGTAATAGTTAGGAAAGTTCACTTTAACTCCTACATTGACTTTGCATGCTCCAATAGTCCTTTGGTTGTCAATTCCATGCCATATAATCACACTGCCGCCTCCTTGCTGCTTACGTTTAGCCATAAGTACATCTGCATTGGATAAAATCCATCCTTTGTTCATCCATCAGGTTCAACAAGTATCACCTGAGATTCATTCACGAAAATTACTTTAGAAAAGTCAATTTTCATATATTTTTTGGCCCAAGTGTGACCCTTTAAAATGTTTGCTTTTCTGAGAGAAGTTTGCCTAGGAAATTTCTTGAAAGATTCCAATTTACGAAATATTCTACACTTTTTTTTAATCCTTCTTGACTGCCTCAATTCCAGAGATTTGTGCACTGATCAAAATTGGTTGTTTCGCTATAACCCGCTTTAGCTTACGTTCCCATTGAGAAGAAAGTTTCTGAAATGACTTTCCTTTGATTCTAGTTCTCAACTTATTTATATTTTCAATAGCCCTCTTTATTGTTCGATGATATCTATGAAGTTCCTTTGATATCCCCAATGTGGACATTTCCTCACTCAATAACTTTGCTATTTTTTTGTTTTTTAGCATTTTTAGATCCTTTCCATTACCCATGTTTTCAACATATATTAGGGAAAAAAGAAGAAACAATTTTTATTAGATTTCAAAGGCCTTAAACAAATATTAGTTTAATCTGTACAATAACTTCAGACTGCAGTTTTTTTTTTAAAATAAAATCAATAACGTTAATAAACAACCTAAAAATTTACATCAACCTTTTGTTTTGACATCTAAATTAATCGTTTAAAATTTGACATAAGTTTTTCAAAGTGAGTTATTGACGTTTATATGATTTGCATAATAACTTCAGACGGACTATACAAACCTTAAGATGTGAAAGGATACAAAGTTATTGCTATTTATTCATCTTTAAGAGAAATGTCTTATTGGGAGTCAGAACTTTATTACCCCATTTCTCTATATCGCTGAACCTTGTCTCACCCAATTCTTCAGGTCCGGAATGGAATGGGAAACGAAGGAAAAACATAAGAAATGAGAAGTTTCAATAAATGACCAAATCAAATTAACCACGTACATAAAAAAGCGCTGTGTGAATTTTTACAATATATATATATATATATATATATATATATATATATATATATATAATCTATGAGTTTTTTCTGATTACATATTCAGATCTTACTTTTCGGAAGCTGATTACTACAGCCTTCTTTAGATATGTATTACGTTTAGTAGATATTTTTCTATTACTGATAGCCCTAGCTCTGGAATCTTTGTGCAGGCATTGTTAATACTTTTCAGTTGAGCAAATTAAATCCAGCAATATCAACCATGCTGATAGAACATGCTGTTATTCTGGGTACATTTTCTCATAAATAGTCATACTATTTTTCTTATTTTGCAGTAATTCTAATATTGTCTAATGGAGGCGCTGAAAAGTTCTCAGCGCGATCAAAAATGAATTAAAAAAGCAATCTGATATTTGGTTAGTTTACTGGAAGTGTGTTTTACGAAGAATCTGTCGGCACACTCCCTTCATGTGTAAAATTACGTAATTGGTGTTGAGCATAATTGTGGCTTGCTAAAAAAAGAAAGAAGAAAAAAAAAAGAAAGGTGAGAATTAAATTTAGGTGATAAGAAGCAATCACGAAAAGGACACTAAGCGGTGTTATTTTTCTGACAAGGAAAAGTGGTAAGATTTTTTTTATTTCCATTGTCGAGAAAGTAAAAACACAGAATTAATCTGATTTATGTTACGGGGCGGGTGGAAATTCCAGGTTGGTCAAATAGATTCAGAGACAGAATTATAAATAGATAAAAATTAACTGGGTCGTTTGGAAAAGGCTTCTGTTTTGTGTCGAAACTGGCTATGGTGGCGAAATTATTTTATCGGGAATAGATAACGCCAGAATGCGAAACGTCCAATTGACCACCCACTTGATAATTGGCGAAAATCTCATTGACGAATTCCATATGAAATTCGGCTATGATAGCGAAACTATTTTATCGGATCAGAAATTGGCACCAAGAATGCAAATACGTCTAAATGGCCACCCACTTGATGCTGGCGAAAAGCTAATTGACGAATTCCAGGTAATTCGGTTAAAGATAAAGAGTCTAGTGTGTGAAGTCTCCTCAAAGAGAAGAAAGAAGAGGAAAAGTGAAAAAAAAAGATAATTTTTTTTTTTTTGAGCAAGATTTTTTAAACCGAGGCTAACCCACGCCGCTGAGCGCCCATTGGCTAAATGGTAGCAGGTGTGTTGGGCGGAGGTAATCATGTGAAGTAGGAGGGGAGGCCTGTTGGCACCCATTGAGGAGATAGGTGTGAGATGCCACTGTGAGAGAGAGAGGAAACCCGTTGACCCCCTCTGAGGATATGGTGAGATACCAGTATGAGATCAGAAGAAGGTGGGAGGACGAGAAGACTTCCAAAAATAGAAAATAATAAAATTTTCCTGACCGAAAACAAAGAAGTGGATTGTGGGTTTGGAATTATCAAGGAACCTCAAACCCCGACAAGCCCCCCCCCGGTTTGGTCGGCGTCCATATAAGCAAAGTCGCAACGAGCGAAAATCAGTTCCAGTTGAGAGGCAGTTGAGTT